TGGATGCTATCTGGATGACTTCCAGCCATTTCGAATGCGCATCCACCGCCAGAAGAAAAACCTTTCCTTGGAAGGGTCCTGCAAAATCGATGTGGATTCGGGACCATGGGTTTCTGGCAAATTCCCACGGATGCAGTCTTGCACGTGCAGGTTGCGGCCTTGTCTCCTGGCAGGGCAGGCAGGTTCGGACCTTCCTTTCGATATCTTGGTCGATACCCGGCCACCAAACTGTGCTTCTGGCAAGCGCCTTCATGCGGACGATCCCGGGATGCGTGGTATGCAGCAGCTCCAAAACCTGGTCTCTCGCTTGCTCTGGAATGATGACTCTACATCCCCACAGCAGGCATCCCCGATACTCCGACAACTCGTGCTGCCGTCGAACAAATGGCTTGAACTCGTCCGGCAGCCTGCCTTGAGGCCATCCAACCCCCGTCCAATGTCGAACTCTGGACAAGGTTGGGTCGTTCCGGGTGCATCGGGCAATCTTCTGGGCATCCCACGGAATCTCCGGCGCAGTCTCCAGCATCCGGACTTCAAAAAGTTTCTCGTCAGTTGAGCTGTCTTCCACAGTTAGAGGCAGTCGACTCAGTGCATCCGCGTTCCTGAGCTGATGAGCAGGCCTGTACTCCAGCTCGTAGTCGTAAGCCGACAACATTAACGACCATCGCAACATCCTCGGCGACAGCACTTGAGGCATCGGTTTTGCGTGATGCAAGAGTCCCAGTAGAGGTTTGTGATCGGTCACGATCCGAAAATGCCGACCGTAGATGAACTTGTGGAACTTTCGTATTCCAAAACCTATCGCCAGAGCTTCCCGGTCTGTCTGTGCGTAGTTCCTTTCGGCAGCTGTCATAGTTCGAGAGCCATAGGCTACCGGTACCTCCCGGCCTTCGCTATCAACGTGGCTGAGTACCACCCCAAGTCCGTACGGAGAGGCATCACATGCCATGACTAGTGGCTGGTGGACACTGTAATGGGCAAGGACGTCCGAAGACTGCAGTAGCTGCTTGGCCCGCAGAAAAGCCTCTGCTTCCTGCGTAGTCCATCTCCACTTATGGCCGTTGTCGAGCAGCCTGTACAAGGGCTCCAAAGTGTGTGCCGCTCCCCGTAGGAACCTGTTGTAGAAGTTGAGTGCCCCCAGGAACGCTTGCAACTCCTTCTTGCATTTTGGCTCGGGTGCCCCATGGATAGCCTTGACCTTGTCGTCTGTCGGCTGTATTCCTGCCTTGCTGACCTTGTATCCTAGGAATACTTCATCCACTCCAAAAACGCACTTGTCCCTTTTTAGCCGGACACCGTCGTCTTGAATTCTTTGAAGCACAGCTTGCAGACGGGTGTTGTGCTCGGCTTCATCTTTACCGCCTACCAGGATGTCATCAAGAAAAACTTGCACCCCTTCCAGCCCTTGCAGCAGCTCTTCCATGTACCTCTGAAAAATAGCGACTGCAACAGCTACTCCGAACTGTAGGCGCGTGACACGGAAAAGTCCACGGTGTGTGGTGATGGTGAGAAGGTCAGCTGTCTCACTGTCAACTGTCAGCTGCAGGTACGCTTGGTCTAAATCAAGCTTGGAAAACCTTGCACAGCCTGCCAGCTTCGCGAAAAATTCCTCAGGTGTGGGTAGGGGGTAGCTTTCCCAACGGACCACAGGGTTTACCGTACTCTTGTAGTCGCCACAGATTCGCACTGTGCCATCCTTTTTTACCACAGGTACTATTGGAGTCGCCCAACTGGAATGTCGGACCGGTTCCAAAATGCCTTGCCTGATGAGCTTGTCCAAGGCTTCATCCACTTTTGGTAGTAAGGCAAAGGGAACTGGACGGTTTGAAAAACTTGGGCTGGGCAGTCGGTTCCACTTCGACTCGAACTGGTGGTCCCTTGCTCTTGCCTAGACCTGGTTGGAAAACGTCGGCGTGACGACTCAGCACTGCTGCGCTGGACGGGCTCTGATTGTTCGTTGCTTCTTCCAGCTGATTGACTCTCAGCTCAATCCCAAGAGCCTTGAACCAGTCTCGGCCAAGCAAGCCTACGCCTGCTCCCTTGATCACGACGAGACGCAGTCGTTTTTGACGCCCTTTATAGGTGACTTGGACCATCACGGAGCCTAGCACCTTCAATTCCTGCTGGTTGTAAGTGCGAAGACGTAGTTCACACGGTCGCAGCTTGTGCTTGGACAACCGCAGCTGACGCATAGTTCTCTCGTTGATCACGGAGCACACCGCTCCTGAGTCGACTTCCATCTCGAGAGGGTTCCCGTTCACTTCTACGACCACGCGGATAGCAGGTTCCTCGGCAGTCATTTGGAAGATGCCGAAAACATCCGCTGTTTCACTGTCGCGCCGCCGGCCGTTCTGGCGGCTGCCACCTGTAGGCCTAGGCGTCGGTGAGGACTGTTTCGCTTTTCGTCGACAAACTTTCACGATATGGCCCCGCTGCTTGCAAAAGTGGCACTGTGCGTGTCGAAAACGACACTCGTCTGGTGCGTGTGACCCTCCACAGCGAAAACACTTGCCAGCGTCTTGCTGTGACTTCGACGCAGTCCTTTCTCTTGCTGCCTCGGCATTAGGCTTAGCTCTCGGAGCCATTTGCTTACCAACACGACACACATCGCTGGTCTCTGCGGACGCCCCCCTGATCTTTTCTGTCTGGTGGTGGGCGTACTCTGCTGCTATCGCCTTCTCTTTGGCCACCGCGAAGGTTAGTTCCGGCTCGGAGAGAAGCCGTCGCTGAAGGGACTCTTCCCGGAGGCCGCAGACTAACCTGTCTCTGAGCATGTCGTCCAACGTTGGCCCGAAAACGCAGTGCTCCGACAGCCGACGAAGCTCGGCGATGTAGTCGGCGATACTTTCTCCTTGACGCTGGTCGCGCTTCCCGAACTGGAAACGCTGAACAATGGCGGACGGCCTCGGGTTGAAGTGGGCCGCCAGTCGCGAGACGATGTCGTCGTAGCTCGTCTCGGAAGGTAGAGCCGGTGAGCAGAGTGAACGAACGATGGCGTACGTTGCCGCCCCGCAGACCGTGCACAGGATTGCACGCTTCTTCTCGGCTGACTTGATCTCATTAGCGATAAAGTAGAACTCAAGTCTTTCGTGGTACAGTGGCCATGTTGCACCGGTGCTCGGTGCGAACTCTTCAATGCCGCCGAATGCCGGCGCCGCTGATGCCTTTGCTTCTGCCATGGCGCCGTGAACGGCGCTCTAGAAGGTCTTCCGCCGCAGGTTGACTCCACTTCGTCGCCAATGTTGTGTATTTAATCTTTACATAATATATACATTACAGCATACAGCGGGCACAACCGACCGGGTTGGGGCCAGAGCAGTCGAACGTCTCGTGCCTGCGCGCGTGCACCAGTTCACCGGCATCCCTGGATATCCTCGGTTGCCAACACACAACAGTACCAGGAGACACTATCGGGCAACGAAGCACGGTGCCTGTGAGGACGGAGTCTAGGAACGCTACTGATTAATATTGTGACAGGCGATCAGTTATGATAGCAGACGAAACTTCGACTCGTTTGTTCAGAAGTTCGCGGTGATATTTTATTAGCCCTCGTTTCAGCACACCAAGGATCTTAGGCAGTGAAATTCACATCACGCAGGCTCGTCCGTCGTAGTCAAATGAGCGCAGTCGACGATGAGGTGTAATGAGCTACTAAGCTTCACAAGGAAAATGCGCGTGAGAAAGAGTTTTGAGGAAGTCCAAAACACCGATCCAGCAGACGCACGTACGTGCGTTTACTCCGGACTTCATGAACCCGACGGCGCAAGATCAAAGAGCACCGCCGCCATCGCCACCCGGTTTTCTCTGCACTTTGCGCGACGACGGCACTGCAACGGAGGGCACTCGCCTCGGCGTTAACAATCCGCGAAATAGATTAATTTCCCACTCTTGAAGCCATTCCAAATGACAAATGAAAATACCTCGGCGTTGTTGAACATCTGACGACGCAACCAGCACAACTGTGCCGCTGGCTGCGTGAGCCTGACACAACTGTGCCGAGCGCCTGCTCGGCACCGTTGTTGCTTGTGAAGGCCTGCTTATTTGTAGTTGAGACGATGATTCCACATCTTTCGCGGTGCTTGCAATAACTTCGAAGGGCAGGGGAACCTTCTCACGAGGACGTTGAAGACACTCAACACCGGAGCCACCAAAGCAATCGCACAAACCGTCGTCATGTTTGCTTCTTCTTCGTCACTCGCGGCGCGGTCAACTCGTCGCGAGATGTTTTCTGGCTCGGCTAGATGGAAACCAAAACAGCGGCAAAGTGGCGTATGGACACACGGCTCTCACATTACGGGCACTATACTTACATACCGCGGTAAACAGGACCGATGCCGGCGAAACGGCAGTCGGCACACCAGCGAAGAAGCCCTCAACGGGAAGCGGCGGCGCAGGCCGACGCAGCCCCCCCTTCCCGTGAGCGTCTGGGTTCGGGATTATTGTTCGCTTTTGCTCCTTGCGATCGAGGTTAAAAAGAGCACTTTCGGACAAAGCAACCGTATGGGGCTGCTTCGAAACAGTCGCTCTTCCGTCGCCGACGCATGATGACTTTTTTCTTTAAACTTGAAGGTTCCCCTTCAAGGGGAGCCTTGGCGACGGCAACGGCTTTGTCGATGAATGTAGACCATTTATGGTCTACATCTGCACGTTTTTATTTGTTACAATACATATCCTTGTTGATCAAACTGTATTCCCGAGGCTTGCTGCCCGTTGAAGTTTATGTCTCTCGAAATAATTGTTAAGACAAATTATTGCTGTAATTTAAACTTAAAACAGATACATAGATTAAACCAACAAAAAATATTAACAGAAAAAATAATATTTTTACTTCTCGTAGGATATTCAAAGAAACAACGAGACCAGCTGATATATTCCCGATTCTCCATGCAAATAGAGGCGTTAATTATGCCTAAGAGGCCTGTGAATGTAAAGTAAGTCAATTGATATCTGTTGATTAATCATTGTGTTTGATTTGTGTTTCCTCCATACTTTGGTGACAGGCAAGTACGTTCCCGCCATTGGACACGCCATCGACACTGCCGTCCAGCCACGGGTCAAGATCAACCTCAAGGGAATCGCCGTTGGCAACGGCTTTGTCGACCCCGTAACGATGCTGGACTACGCAGACTACCTGTACGGAATCAGTCTGGTGGACAGGAAGCAGGCAGCCGTCATACGGCAGAAGACCGACGCCGCCATCGGCCTGATCAAGCAAGGACGCTATCTGGAAGCCAACGACGCCATTTCTTCGGTCTTCGACGGCAGTCCGAGCCTCTACACTAATTTCACCGGCTTTACCAATTACTACAATTACCTCCTTACCAAGGCGCCCGAAGATCAGGCCTATTACGTTCCTTTCCTTCAGACAACTCGAGTGCGCAAGTCGATACACGTCGGGAGCCTCCCCTTTAACGACTCTAGCGACAAGGTGTACAATGACTTCTATGCGGATCAGATGGTGTCTGCCAAGCCGTTGTTCACCCCTTTGCTGGAGAAGTACAAGGTCCTCCTGTACAGCGGTCAGCTGGATATCGTCGTTGCGTACCCCTTCACTGAGAACTTCCTCGCTTCCCTCAATTGGACCGGGGCAAGTGCTCTCGCGGCTGCCTCCATACAGGTCTGGAGGACTCCCGGAGGAGGGGACGTCTACGGCTACGTGAGACAGGCGGCCAACTTCACCGAGGTCCTTGTCCGAAACGGAGGGCACATCCTGCCGTACGACCAACCCGATGTGGCATACGATATGATTACAAGGTTCATAGACGGCAAGCCTTTCGTTTGAAATGCGCTGAGGATATCACACGAGTAACCGGGCCCTCCGCGCCCGACTCTTGCAAGCCTTAATAAATACGAATGAACATATCAAATTATGAGTGCTGGTTATTATCCTGTACAATCCGCGGGACGACTAGCCACAAAAACTGTCATTCACTTTATTTCTCTGTCCCTCAGTCGTATGTTGCACAATTATGAAGCCTGTTCACCGATTATTTGTCAACGACATTTAATCAATTAACTACAGGGTGATTCAAGGAGACGCCAGGCTCTTTAAATCGACCGCAAAATTCGGTTTCTTAACCTATCGCGCTACGACCTTGTGCAGCGTTGCCCTCAGATGGTGCTTTTTTTTTTTTTTTTTTTGTAAAATTTGCAAAGAGCGAACTTACCTGAGGAAAAAGTAAAGACAGAAAAAGGCCTAGCTTCTATGGAAACGCAGCGACGCCACCGGTCTTCAAACAACACGGCGCCGTTTCGCACGGAAGACAAGAGATGGTGCAACGAACGCCGCCGACGTACGAGCATACGGCACCGAGAGCCGGCGTTTCTAGCAGGCGATCTTTTCGACTCAAAAGCGGCGGCGTTCCGCAGGCGGCGACAGTCACAGAAACAAAAACAGGCGCGGTATCAACAAGGAACTGCAGATCCCTATCTGCTAAAGACGTCGGCTCTCGGTGTCGTATGCTCGTTCGTTGGCGGCAGTTGGCGTCGTGACTACATGCGCCATATCTTGTCTCCCGTGCGAAACGGCGCCGTGTTGTTTGAAGACCGGTGGCGTCGCTGCGTTACCATAGGAGCTAAGCCTTTTTCTTTCTCTACTTTTTCCTCAGGTAAGTTTGCTCTTTGCAAATTTTACAAAAGAAATGCACCATCTGTGGGCAACGCTGCACAAAGTCGCAGCGCGATAGGTTAAGAAACCGAATTTTGCGGTCGATCTAAAGAGCTTGGCGTCTCCTTCAATCACCTTGTAATCTGTCTAATATGGGAGCCGATAAAATGTGGGAGGTATTGAGGAATTACAAAGTAAACTTGCCCCGATAATTCTGACAAACCCGGGGAGAGCAGAATGTTATGCGTGCGTTACGATTCGTTATGCTTGGTATGGTATGCACGTTTGCAAGTTCCACTTCAGGGCGGCGCCATATTGCTCAGTGGGGTGCATTTGGACTTGGCCATAATCTGATTACGACGCCTTAACAAGGCTTCGCAATCCGATTATGTCGCGTCCAAGCGCACCCAGACGAGCAAAATGGCGGCGCCCTAAAGCAGGACTTGCAGACGTTTGCAAGCAGCCGCACTTCTGGAGCTAGTCTGGCCACCGTCGATAGAAAAACGGGTGCGCATTTTCGGCACCGATTTGAAGTCCAGGGGCCAGTGAATTCACGGACGTCCAGATTCTGTTTGGTGTTCTTTGATGTAAACACATTTTATTTTGGATGCCGACTGCATTTTGAAACGTCGGTCGGTCGGCGAGTGTGTGCGCGTGGTCGGGTGCTCGACTCGCTGGTGTGTGTCGACGTGCCGCCTGGGCTCGTCGCTATCCATTGCCCACATCCAGAAACAGTGTTTTTTCATTTCGGCCGGTGCCGTCGGTCACTCCTGCTGCAAAAGAAGATTCGACTACAGAACCGTCCGACGGCACTTTTGCAGAGTGTTCAAGCGCCGTCCGACGGTACTCCACCGACGATACTCCGTGTTAAGTGCCGTCCGAAAGTCTCGTATAGAACGAATTGTCAAAAAGAGGTTCCCGAAGCTGTAGCGTAGCTTAGCGGTTAAGATGTATGCCTCATACGCAAGCGGTCGGCGTTTCGATCCGCAGTGGAGGCTTACTGTTTTCCTTTTTTCGGAACATTTCGTTTTGTTGGGGCATTTGGCGATACTAACGGCATTTCTTTTTTACGATTAACGTTGAAAAAAAGAAGAAAAAGAATGTTGTCGACGACAGTGCTAAAAGCGCGAGCTAGTTTCTTTGGATCACGCGGCACGAGCACTCCTGCAGCGGGTGCAGCCATGCCAGTCAAGGCTACTCGCTCGCCACGGCCTTTGCAGCTATTCTGTGCAAGGGTGATAATCCGTCGTATTACACACAAGTGTAGAAAAATGCGTAGAAAATTACTGCGGCTGGGCTCTGTCGCCTCCGGTAGACGTAATCTTCATTTGCGACAGGAGTGACAGACGGCACCGGGCCAAGTTTGAAAATGGAGAACGCTTATTTTGATGTTCCTGAGAACGCGACGAGTACAGGCGGCAACGTCGACAACACGCACCAGCGCGGACACCGCCGAGCCGCCGAGCACCCGACCACACACACGCCGAGCGACCGACATTTCAAAACGCAGTCAGCGGCATCCAAAGAAAACGTGTTGTTGACGTCAAAATAAAAGCAGTTATTTTGATGTCCGTGACGTCATTGGCCACGCCCTCTGGAGACTAAATCGGTGCCGAAAATACGCAGCCACCAACACCTCCTAGAAGAGGAGGCCGTAGCGCTGCAGTGGTTACGTCATAATGCCGGAGAAGGAAGTTCATGGCGCAACTACGTAAGAAAATATCTGGCATCGACGTGAAAAAAACACTTTTTGTCGAGTGGCGTGGTGGTGTTTGTGGAATTTGGGGAAAGGACTCGTTGTTGTTTAGATAACAGAACATGGTTTATTTTTAGTGAAAACATTTAAGCAGAGGTCGGCACTTTAGGTCGCCCTCACTCACCCTCACCCTCACAGCCACACTCACCTAAGCCCCTCACTCACCCTCACCCTCACAGCTACGCTCATTTTCAGCCCCTCACTCACCCTCACCCTCACAGTCACACTCACCTTCAGCCCTTCACTCACCCTCACTGAACCTCACGGCCCTCACGCACTCACCGCCCTCACGCCCCTCACGGCCCTCACTCACTCATGGCCCTCACGACACTCACCGCCCTCACGACACTCACCGCCCTCGCGGCCCTCACCGACCTCACCGCCCTCACCGCCCTCACCGCCCTCACGGCCCTCACCGCCCTCACGGCCTTCACGGCCCTCACGCCACTCACCGCCCTCACGGCCCTCACCGCCCTCACCGCCCTCACCGCCCTCACCGCCCTCACGGCCCTCACGCCACTCACCGCCCTCACCGCCCTCACGCCCCTCACCGCCCATGCGGCCCTCACGCCCCTCACGCACTCATGGCCCTCACGCCACTCAGGCCAGCTTCAGATGGGGCAATTTCGCCCGGAAACTTTACGTCGCAACACCAGCAACACGGGATCACACGCAGCAACCAATTGCTGCAATTTGCCATCGTCATCATAAAATTTTCTTTTTCTTGCACTATTTAGACAGAATTACACGTTATAAACGTGTTTTTATGCATTTAAACCTCGTTAAGAATACTGATGCACCTTTCTGAAACCAGTTTATTTTCAAAAAAACGATCGATTTCAGACCAGAACCAAGTCATTCGGTGTCATCATCACCGGCACGAGGTATCACGTGAAAATTTTGCGTCCCTGATTGGATGCAGCCGCTTCAAACGTATTCGAATTGCTCCGAGTTGCTTGCTTATTTCGAGCCGGACCCGATCTCAGCAATTCGTGTTGATCTAGGGAAAGCTAGAGAACAACCCGCCATTAACACCAAAATTGCTGAGAAAGATGCTCGATCTGAAGGGGGCCTCACGCACCCACCGCCCTCACGCACTCATGGCCCTCACACACCTCATGCACTCACCGCCCTCACGGCCCTCACGCCTCTCATGCCACTCACTGCCCTCACGCACTCATGGCCCTCACACCCCCCACGCACTCACCGCCCTCACGCCACTCACCGCCCTCACGCCCCTCACGCACTCATGACCCTCATCGCCCTCACCGCCCTCACGGCCCTCACCGCCCTCACCGCCCTCACCGCCCTCACCGCACTCACAGCCCTCACTCACCCTCACACTCATGAATTTTCCTGGTTCAGAAACTCACTCACCCTCACCTCACCTGTGAAGATGAGGGTGAGTGAGGGTGAGTGAGGGCCCTCATGAGTGAGGTTTGCCAAGGTATGGTCTTAACAAATGTAAGGTAAAACATCTATGAAGCACTGTTATGCCCCAAAACTCGATACAGAGAAATTCGATGAAACAGCCCTTAGCGATTCGATGAAACGGCGTTCAATGAAATGGCGTTCGATGAAATGTCCATTCATTTGATGAAACGGCGTTCGATGAAACGGCGTTCGATGAAATGTCCGCTACCCCAAAAAAGAGGCTATGCAGCATCGATCGTACCGTTTTTTTTTTTTTTTTTTTTTCGCACATTATGTGATGTCCTTTAACACGAAAGTACTGACGTAAAAGCGCTGCAGAGACGACATAAAAACAAAAATTGAAGCGAATCGAGCTTTGTAGTGGAACGAAAAAAATAAATAATTAACGACTTTTTACGGTAAACACTTCGCCTCTAAGTAGAACTTCAAAAAAGCGACGGTTACGCGCTTCCGTGCCCAAATTTCAACGAAGTTGGGAGAACGATGTATTGCATCTTGTGAATACACATGTGGAGCAGCATGTTTATGTTAGAGGCATTGTGTGTAATCGCTGCGCAATACCTGCCAAAAGAAGATATTAGAGAGTTTTAGTATACCGTTTTCATCTTCCGCTCCGCTCTGAGGGTGCCAAACTGCGCATGCGCGGCCCGCTTCGCCGGAATGGAAAGCGGAGGTCCAAAAACGCGTTTTAGTAGAGCGTTTTTCTTCAGCGTAAGAGCGTTTTGAGCGGGTTCGAAAAATTTGCTTGCGTAGCCCCACAAGTGGACGTTTATAGTACTAGTAAAACAAAAAAACCTAAGCGTTAACACCAAAAGAGTAAAAGGGAGCGTGATTGTAGAGGTAGTAAAAACGAAGGCGAGAATATTGAGCACAAAAGAGTAGGCACAGACCTGAAGAAATATTAAGCTATAAAATATAAATATAATCGTTCCACCTTGTGTGCGAGTGAAGCCGAAGGTATAAGCATGAGCATGTTGCTCTAAAC